TATACACACACACACACACATCATTACAGTACTATACACACAAACTTGTAGCATGGTGCGTGGGCGGATCAAAGGCGCCGCCAGTGCTATAACTTCCAATAACACGCATGGTAGGAAAATGTAGCACTGTGTGGAATATATAGTACTTGTGCCTGGCCACCTGTGCAACTTTTGAAATTTCATTTGATCCGCCCACGCACCACTACAAACCAATCAAAGCACTGTTGATTCGTAGATTATGGAAATTATTGCACTTGGGACAGTCGAAATGAAAATGTAGCACTCGGCTTCGCCTCATGCTACATTTTCCTCTCGACCGCCCCTTGTGCAAAAATTTCCGTAACCTACTCTCAACAGTGCTTTAATTAATACATACCTTCCTACAACTGTACTGACCAGTAGTGATAATATCAAATAACAAACATTCATTAACTAGTTGATTATTCTTATCCCGTCCACCAATCACTACTAGTGTAGGTGAGGTAGAGTCACCATTGATAATAGCACTAGCATGATCATATCTCTTCATAGGCCACAGTCCCTCATTAGGTATTGCTCCTGGTTTCAGTATCTCCCAGTTCTAGATACATAAACAAATACTAATAATATCAGTCAGCGTAAATATGAATAATGGGTGTGGCTGGGTGTGACATTTAATACTTTGATGTTAATGAGGTGAGGTTAGTGGTTGTGTTTAGTATTATACATGTACAAGTACTGGAGGTATAACAAATCTATTGGTACACAATATACTTGATAAATGAAATACCATACTAAGCATGACTATACACTGTCTAATTATGAAAATATTTTATGTAGTATCAGAGTTTTGTGAATATTTAATATAATAATACACAAAATACAGTTAATATAAGTACAACATAATATATCCTCTAGTGATAATACTGAGATAATGTATTACTGTACAATACAATACAACAAAATATAATACTATACTTACTATTATACTATGTGTCACACTGAATATGTAAACACTGTTAGTAGCTGTACCCTTATCACCATTAACAGTCACCATACCCCCAAACATTACTCCTCTGTTACCGGTAGTAGTAATCTTCTCAATTATGAAAGCATTAGTTGGTGAACAACACTGTCCACTGACAGATGGAACAGTGAATTGTCCTAAAGTGAAGAGAATACAGTGATCATCTAACAATGCAGGTTAAAGTAACATTGTAC